AAGTTAAAGAAGAAAACTCAATTTTGAGTAATCCTCATCAAGAATCAAAAACTACACACCGATAAATCAAATGGAATAGGTGTAAAATACCAAACGTAACAGCATCCAACCGGTTTTCATTGTAACTTTTCTTGTCACTATTTTTATAAATGGTTACCATACACAAACGATAGATGGTGCGACCATACCGCATATAGTTGGGATGATATCCTGAATTGGTCGTTAAGCGCTTTTTATGTGGGTTTGTACCAAACCCTAACGAAGACTAATACGAGGACTAATGGAGCACAAACGAAGGCAACGGCAGCGCAGGTTGCTATGATTTTCATCCATTAATAAGTTAAGAGTACCCAACGGTGAAAACATGACGGTTGAGTACTTTCAACTGAAAATTGAGTTCCTTTTGGAATCGCAGCGTGTTTTATATAAACGAAATATAGCGATGAATATTTCAGAATATTATTTATTCATTACTTTACGCGATACAATTTACAAACATGTAACTACAGAAAGGACTAATTCAATCAGTGTTGCTAGAAATCGCCAAGGCATAGGTTGCCATGGCAGTTTATTTTGAATAATTTTCTCTCTTATACTTCTTGTTCTTCTTCCTCCGCGCATTTCAAGGTTATTGCGTATGGTATATTAGCTTATTGCGTGTTCTCAACTTAGTGTTCTAGATGCACTTCCACAGTTTATTAATTGAAAGCTTTCGATGCCTGTACCATTAGGGTGTTTCATTCTGGAAAAAGATTGATATTTTTGATAGGCCAGATTGTGCGCGATGAAAAAAGAAGAGCTGTAGTACTTCTCGGTTACTCGGAAGTTTTCCACCGGTGAACCTGGTAATGGGCTGACCGATCAACCACTTCTCCGTATCACTTCTAAACTCCATGGCACTATTGTATCTAGAGATGACAGCACAATATGTTTATAAACATTGAGGTAAAAAAAATCTGGCAAAGCATACTATGAAATATGCCTTATCAGCATACCTGCTTTTCTGCTCAAATCAAGGTTTAACTGCAATCTGAGTTCCAAAAGCCAATTTCTGTTTTCTGAAGCATCAAATCGACTTGCAGTCTTGAACAAAGTTGTTCATTATAGTTTTAAGTATAACATATTTTAATTTCATGCAAATCGGTTCATTATGAAAAAAGTTAGAATGATTTTAGTGGGTCATCATTTTCTCCCATACTAATTTGACGAAAATCCCGAACAAAATTGAAATCGTTGGCGCGACCTCTTAACGTTGACTAATTTAGTTGATTCTTTGCACAGATGTTTGTTTTTGTGTTATGAACTGAACTAGGGGGTGGCCTATGAAAAATATCAATCTTTTTTCAGCATGAAACACCCTACTGTACCTTTTTTGCATTAGTATAATTGTGTGGCAAGCAAGGTTGCAAATACTCATTTCAGCTAAAATAATGTTTTTCGGAATAATAAAACCAAAAGATGGTATGATGACATGTTTTACTTTTAACTTACAAGAAGAGGTTACAAAGTATGGGTTTGAAACATAAAACCTGTTAATTTTTTTTTTTTTTTTTTTTGACTATATGTTTTTTTTAGTATTACTTCTACGTGAAGTCAACGATTTACATAGTTGAAGATGCTAATTTCAAATAACAGACTGTAGTGGTAATTTTTATACGATAGATGGAGTAGATGAAAGCATAGAGTTGATAGTTCCGTTAGAGTACGGCAGTGTGAAGATTGTATATAGATATTAGAATAGCGAACTAGGACAACTTTTAAGGAAGGTACAAATCGGTTTTTTCATCTCTCTTTACCAAACTCCCCCTTTGGAGAGGGATGGTGAGGGGTGTCCCCCCCCCCCCCGCCACCACTGGCAAAAAGAGATGAAAACCGACCCGTTCAAGTACCAACTGTGTGTTTGAAACAGTTCTACCGATTTTTACCGCACTTCAATTGTTATTTGAAGGAAGGCATCCAGTCGTAGGTTTGGAAATTGCAACTATTGTTTACCCCTACCACGATATGTGCTCCTGTCATCGTCGACTTGACGATCTCGAGGGGACACGGGTGGGGTAGGTGTTGCTACTGTACCTTTCGACCATTGACAGTAATTGATGGTATGCTCCCATCCAGAGTTATGTACTTTGACTATATGTTTTTTTTTAGTATTCGAATCGAAATCAGCCACCTCCAGCATGGTCTTGCTTTGTAACTGTGCCTTTACCAACTGAGCTAAGGGAGGCCCCATTTCTTATACTAGACCCTCTCTAATAAGAACCTGTTATCACCGGAGCAGTTATCACTAAATGACACCCCAAATAAAATCAAAATGTTTGTATCTGATGGGTGCAAAAAAAATCTAATGAGCGCAGAACATTTTTCAACATTTGTTTGTGAATTTGTAATACAGGTATACCTCGATATAACGTAACTGTCACTTTTGACTTCCATAGCCAATTTTTCGCTAACGATCATTCAAACAATCAAAGTAATAACACCATCGGACAGATGAAATAATTCCCCATCTATTGGTAATACTTGTATGATTCAATTGCTATTAGGGAAATATTGACGATGGAAGTCAAAAGTGACAGTTACGTTATATCGAGGTATACCTGTATTTTAATTCCACATTTAACGGTGCCGATTGAATCTATTTTATGTGACATATTGCAGCAGAATGTTAATCATATGAGCGTTCAGTAATGGATGGGCGTTCAAGATATTTGGTACACAGCATTCATAAGAGAAGCGCATGTAGATAAATATTTCAGCGCTCAGTTAGTTTTGATTATTAAAAAAAAAACAAATAGGATTTTTGAGATGGTTACTTATGGAGTATCGACCACCATGACAGACTTGGCTTTAACCATATGTCAGAAGACGCTAAAAGTATTACTCCAATTCACCATTATTGAAATAGAACGTAACAGTAGTCAACCAATGAGATCGACTCAAAATTGAGTCGGGTTTCACTCAAATTCGCAAAACACTTCTCATAGACAGGCTTGCTTCCGCTCACTTGCTATAAAAAATTGTTTTTCGGAATTATGAAATCATTAGATATTATAATGATAGTTAGTAGTTGTAAGTCACAAGATAAGGTTGTAAACTAGGTGTTTGACACGGGTACACGACGTTAGGCATACGGTCGTTAGGCATACGGACGTTAGGCATACGGACGTTAGGCATACGGACGTTAGGCATAATGTACGGTAGGAATAATGGACGTTAGGCATAATCTACCCGTTGAATTCCAGAAGGATGATAATGGGGACCGTGTATTGATTGCTGACATCGGTGACAATAATAAAAGAGCCTTAATTTTTTGGACTCATGAAAACTTGCGACGTCTTGGACAGGCAAAGTTTTTGGTTGAAGATAGTACGTTTGCCACAGTTCCTTGTTTGTTTCGGCAACTCGTCACTGTTCATGGAAGTATCGCTCCCTCACATCAGCAGACAGTTCTGCTAGTATTCATTCTGATGGCAACAAAAACACAATCTTTGTATCGAAAAGTATGGGAGTAAATCCTGGAAGCATCAGATATGTTTTTGTTATTGAATGAAAAACCATTCTTCATTTCATGAGCTGTTCTTTGGCATCATATTTTATTCAACCTTAGCTGTTTTTTTGTTATTGAATGAAAATTCACAGAATTCACCATTCTTTATTTCATGAGCTGTTCTTTGACGAAAACCTTTTCTTCTTTGACATTTCCAGAGAACTTCGAGATTAGGGTGTAATTGCTTTTGTAAACAAACACTTCATTTGACGATTTCTCGCGAATTAAAGCTCAATCTTATTATTATTATTATTTAACTTTATTAGGGAGGCTTTCAGCCTTGGGCTGGTTCGCCTCCAAAAAAGCTCAATCTTAAAAACTAACAACAACACAAACAGGCAGATGAATGGTTCCTCTATCATTTGGTATAGTTTGGTCACGAGATTTTTCTTTTATTCACGATCAGCGATTGACATGTCTGTTTACAAAAGCAATTACGCCCAAATCTCAAAGTTTCCCGGACTTGCAATAGATGTGTAAGAATATATTACAACAAATGTGTGCTTTATTATTTCTATATGCGATTGATTTCAAGATGTAGTAAAAAACTAGGCTGAGTTTTGTTGCCAGATTACTTAACCACTATCGCTACTAATCTTGGATCTAAGTAAATATGTAGGTACGTCACTTATGATATGATAAATAATGGATTTCATTGTTTACCATGCTCGAAACAGTTTTCTAGAGTTGCACAGCAGCAAGGTATGTTATGCCTAACGTCCATTATGCCTAACGTATATTATGCCACACGTCCATTATGCCTAATGACTTTATGCCTAACGTTCATTATGCCTAACGTCCGTATGCCAAACGTCCGTATGCCAAACGTCCGTATGCCAAACGTCCGTATGCCAAACGTCCGTATGCCTAACGTATTTATGCTAAATGGGGTACACTCGTTTGACACATAAAACCTGTCATTATTGCTTTCAGTAAGTCACAATCAGCGATTTTACGATTCGTGAGCGCTCACTCTGAGTGAACGCTCGCGAGTCATAAATTCGCTGATTGTGACGCACTGAAAGCGAAATTGACAGGTTTGATGTGTCAAATACATACCTTCCAACCTCTTCTTGTTTCTTTCAAGTACAAACTTTTATAATAGCATCCAATGATTCCATAATTCCGGAAAACATTTTTTATAGCGAAGTGAGTGGAAGTAACCCTGCTCATAGAGTAAGTAAAATTTTTCTAGGTTTTCCCCATGTTCGATCAGATTTTTGATGCTATTAACCTGTGACTATGGTTCTATACCTGAGTATCGAGTTGGTGAATATCGTAGTATGGAGATTCGACCGTACTTCATTATTAATTCTCTTCTGCTGAGTGAATAGATTTATCAGTGAGAGACAAATTACTGATAGTCATTGACTATCAAAAACACAAAGAAAGACTATAACGGAAAATAATTTGCTTATTGATAAAATGTACCCGCTAATGATGTCGCACATACCATTGATAAATGCTTCCCAGATGTAACGCTTGTCCTGAAACGTTTGATTGTTAAAGCTAGCACACTGCTGTTCGCGAAAGTCTACCGTCGGATCAGGACAGTCCTGTAAAAAGAAAAATAAATCCTGTAAATAACTGCACAACAAAGAAAAGCACAAAAGTACACCCTTATCTAAAGGAATGCACCTGCTCACCACCCACTCACTTGTTCATTGCACAGATGATACCGCTTCACGATTCCGATGCAATCGTGACTTTCCACTGATGGCCTGGTGCTCTTCTTTCCATTGATATACCTGTCAAAAAAAGAAGAAAACCGACAATTTTACAAACAATGTTTTTAAGGATTTTCAAAAAAATCTTTACACCAATTGGCGTCTCACGACTGGCTGCGAGAGTCACATTTGGATCCGAACAAAAATTGTAATTTAATATTCCTGTCACAAACAACTAATTCCTGGCCCGTATTTAGTCATATTGGTCAGTTCAATTACCCGTAAGAGCACATTTCCCTTTCATTTCGGTTGTCAGCGCACGCCGCACTGGGACGATCCCACAAGCCACAAATGAGCCATTCACGCGAGAAAAGATAACGTGTTGAAATGCAAAGTGACAGCTGATGGCGCGTGTAATCATGATTCCGATATGACCATCCCGGTTTCATTCAACATTCAACGTCCGACTCCGAAAGACCGAATCCCTGCACCGAATGCGCGGCATTTTCTCACCGAAATGCCCGCTCAGTCCCTGACTGTGATGCAGCAGCTTGCGGTGAATTAGGTTCACGTCATCTGGTTGGCTGGCTTCGATATGATAACGTAATCAGAGATGTTTGAGATGCTTCTGACTGGAGTTGAAAATCCAGAAGAACGAACGAAGGAAAATCAGGCCATCTCTATTGTGGTGGGAGATGCTGCTTAAGCATAAGCATACAGCACAGCAGTAGTGAGATGGAGATAATGCGGCTTTATATGTATGGTACGGCACCGGCAGATTATGATTATATGCTTCTGACCTCCTGTCAGCATTGCTTCGTTTGCCTTGTGCCTGGTGAATGTAATGAAACGATCACGCGAACGACGAAAGGGAATTGAAAGTGACGTAAAATTGTTGTTTGGTTAAATCCCAATTCCTGTGCTAGGCCGAGGAAGACGAATGATGACTTTTTGTAGATGGGAGAGGTAGGGTAGGAGTGTATAAAACGCCTCACCGGTGCAAAAGGTCCCTCTTGGATTTCTATGAATCCATGATTAATATAAATGCAGAATTGATGAGCAAGCCAACAATTTAATGGGACCACGCTCCTATGCAAGTTGGACAGCTGTCAAGGGTTACAAATCAATAATAAAGACAAAATCCTGAAAGTCATGCATCCGCTGTAATCTTTCGCGTCATTTTGGTACGCATATTTAAAAAGATATTTATTCTATCTTTGTACAGTATGAGACATATAATATTTACGCTCTAAGGTATGTTCGACCTTTGAGTGGGACATTCTACTTTTTTAGTATAGAAAATACTGTCCCTTTATTGTGTTGGCACCTTATATGATAGATGACGCATGGGTTGAAGAACCTAGAAGTAAGGCATTGTCGAAAAATGTTTCCTAACTTTTTAATTTAACTTTCACTGAGAAAAAAAAATTATTACAACTTAGTTCCAACTCCTAAAGCAACGGAAATACACGATTGTTCCGTTAATTAAAGAGAAGAGAGTGAACATAAAGACGCTTTTCCACCAGTGCAACAGTTGAACATTTGTGTAAATTTCAAAATTGATAAAGTGTTTATTTTGGCAGATTCGTAGAAAAAATTCTAATCGATTGGCTTGTTTAGAATTAAAATTCATCCGCCATTGACAGAGGTAAAAGTGGTCAAAACCTGACCACTTTTCGTAACGCGGTCGATTTTGGTTTTTATAAATTGCACCCCCAAAATGTTTCCGAAAGACGTAATCCTACGTCCAAACTGATTACAACTGTGTTCCAACTCCCAAAGCAACGGAAATACACGATTGTTCCGTAAATTAAAGAGAAGACAGTGAACATATAGCCGTTTTTCCTTAAGAAGGGCGTATTATACCTGTTTACCCTACATCCGAAAGCAATGATTAAGGAAGTGATTACCCTGTTGGGAACCAGGGGAGAACGGCTGATGAAGATATGAAGATGTAACACGTCAATGTCAAGTGCTTAATTGAATGTGACAGATGATTGTGGCATTGTGAATAAGGGTTCAGTTAGTGTTGTCGTTGTTTTGAATCGATATGAGTTGTGGGAATTTTAGATCTAAAGTTATCAATATCTGGAAGCTCTAAGGCCTCAACATTATGTAATGTTTATTTAGCTCGTGAGTTTTTACTGAACTTCCTAGTGAACCAATGAAATTTTAATAGCGAGTGTTATTCACAAATATAGATCGTGCGTTGTAGTTTGCTGTAGGAAATAAAGAAGGTAGGAATCAGTGAAGTATGTCCCAAAATGAATGATCTTTAACGTTGTTCAGAAAAGCACAGTAAATTCGTAGAAGTGGTGCTGGACAAACCCATGCTCAACTTCTGATATTGGAGGATGAACCACACTGTAAAGAGCGTTATGAACAAAGGTCTCAAAGACCTTGCTAATATTCCACGGTAGTTCTCAGCTCGGTTCCGATTACTAGCATTGTGGATTGGCACGATAGAAGCTGTCTTCCAAACACTTTTATCCTTGATTCCCGGGATTTCCATAGAGTCTCAATATCCTGGAAGTGGAAACCATAATATAATTTGATGTTTGTTCGAAGGTAGTTGCATCATTTCCGAATTTAACAGTTGAGTGAAACATTATCATCTTCTTCTTCTTTAGGGTTTTAAAATTGCTTCTGGAATTCATACCTTCTTTAATCTTAAATAGCTATTGATTGACAGTGGTGCCGGTGGTGTATTTTTTTTTTAATAATCCATTTATTTGTCAAGGCTCAAATGCGTTAGCTTTGCGGAGCCGAATATTTTTTACATTATTGTGTGTGAATATAATTTTCTTACAACTAATGTTAGTAGAACGGGGGCCGATTACTCGCGGTTTACTCGAGATTAGGGATTACATTTATTGATAATTTGGAGGGAGGACAAGGGAAAGCATTTTGAACTAATTTAAAACTTAAACGTAAAGGATGACTAAAACACAAAACACTAAACACATACATCAACAGCTTTAAGAAAGTCGTAAATAAGCTTCATAATGTCGATATCACGGCAAGCCAAGACGTCTCTAATTGGCTTAAAGGGTTGTTTTCCTCGGACCCTAAGGGAATCACACAGAACGGATCTCGCCTCACAATGCAAGGAGCAGGACCAAACAACATGCTCGATGTCGTGATAACCGTTTCCACAGGTACATAAGTTGCTGTCGGCGAGCGTAATACGGAAGAGGTGGGCGTTTAACGAACAGTGATTGGACATGAGCCTGGACATTACACGAATAAAATCACGACTCATATCCAACCCTTTGAACCAAGGTTTGATCGACACCTGTGGGACAATAGAATGTAGCCATCTTCCCAGATCACCATCATTCCACTTTTGTTGCCAGTTGGCGACGACTTGCTGACGAGAGATCGTGAAAAAGCCGGTGGTGTAGTGGTAAGCGTGATTACCTCTCACCCCAGCAGGTCTAGGTTCAATCCCAGTCGGCGCAGCCGGGATGTTCTGACGCATAACATCTCTGATCACGCGGGAAGGGAAGCCGTTGGTCCCCGGTTCATGAACTGATGGGTCGATAGGTGTAGGGTCCAGGTGTGGGCGCTGCCTTCCTATCTTATTTATAACACCAAAAACACAAACAACATTCGCATAAATTTAAAGTATTATTAAGCTATAATGCAGCTAAATCTTCTAATTTTTCCAAAACTGATTTATAACATCCAGTAACATAAAGACTGGAACGCGCAAAAATTGGTGGACAAAAAATCGTTTCTTTCAGTCAAAATTCATATTACAAAAATCTTCTTATTTTTCTTTTGGTAGTTCAATTCACATATTTTAAGGAAAAAATGTTCGTTTATTCTTTTGGTTTGCCAAATCCGAACTGCTGTGCCTTCCGCTTAACCAATTCCATTAAATTTTGCACAGTGGTCTCATCGACCTTATTCGCCGCTGAACGCCAGTTAGATTTAAACTGCTGCCCGTTTTCCATGGATTTATTAGTTTTTTTGAGATTCCGTTTGACCAAGGCCCAATACCGTTGGGAGGGTTGTGGTCTTTGGGTACCACAACCACGTTGTTCGCATTATACCACTCGATTGCCTTTTTCCCATAGTGGCAGCTCGCCAAGTCCGGCCAGAACAGCACAGATCTGTTATGTAGCTTTAGGAATGGAGCAGCCGCTTTTCCAGGCACTCCTGGAGGTGGATCTCTTGATTGATGGTTCCCGTAGTAATGAAAATGCCGCTTTTTAGACCACACCAGACGAGATATTTTTCGGGAACTTCGATAGTTTGATGGTTTTGAAAATTTCAGCCACCTTCCCTTTTCCGGCGGTGTAAAACTCCTGTCCCGGCAGCTGCTTGAAATCCGCCTTCACATGAGTTTCGTCGTCCATGACGACACAATCGAGCAGCAGATTCGTATACAGCTTTCGAGACCGCTGCTTTGCCGACGTGTTTTGTTTGCAACCTCGGTTCGCCATCTTTACCTTCTTAAACGTCGACAACCCGGCTCGTTTCTTGGCCCGCTGCACAGTAGTATGGGAGACATTGAGCTTCCCAGCGACGGCCCGGATGGAGAGGGTAGGATTCCACTTATATTTCACCGCCACCGTCTTAGTCGTCGCTGCCACGACCGGATTACGATTGCCGCGGCTTCCATGCTTTCTGGCGGTCGACAGGCGCTCCCCAAACACTTTTAAAACGTTTGTCATGGTCGATTCGGCCACATCCAGCAAATTGCCAACTTGGCGTGTGAGAACGTCGGATTCTCTTGCTGCGCCAGCAAAATTTTGACACGCGCTCCTCTTGCTTGGAAGTCATTTTTGAAACTGGAGAGCAAACGGTGAAAACTCATCATAGCAACCATTGTATATACACTCAACTTCCAAATGCAGCATTTCAGGGTTTTTTTTGTATACATTTTTAACAGAAATACACCTTTTTTATATATATCTTTATTAATGAGACTTTCAGCCCTGGGTTGGTTCGTCTCCAAAACACCGCAATTTTAAGTTGATCAATTTTTGCGCGTTCCAGACTTTATAAGGCCAGTTGTTATTTTGTCTCGCAAAAGAAATGACGGAGTTTGATCTAGTTGAAGCTTTTTTTTC